CCATCATGAAAGCGTAAGGAAAACCGACATCCCAACGGTTAGTAACTTTCCTTCCTTTAACTTTTAAGGAAGCAGCTACAAAAATCATCTAAGAATATTTTCCATCCATTATAAACCACCGTCATATCAAGCGGTCAAAATCTCCAGTCAGCAAATTTCAAGGCGTACGTGTAAAGTCCGCCGACCGGATGGTATGACTGGTTGCTAACTACACTATATTTCAGCCCGCAAAGTCCAACCCATCTGACTGTTTTCAGCAAAATCTGTAATAATATAACATGCAAACTAGATAACAGCACCCCATAACAGGAACATAGCGCCTTAACCAACTGAATAGCAAGTGGAAAATCCTACGAATAGCATTGTTTTGTTACAAATAGAACAGTACCAAATTTAACTTATCCCCGTAGCGGAATCGTGTTTGGTCCAAAATATCAATTTCACAAATTAAATTAAAGAATGACTACTTCAAGAAGAGATTTCACGGCGTACTGCACAGTCTCCTTGATCGTCGCTGTTTAAAGGAGGGACTATTTAAAGAGACCACTCCACGGTATTTGAACACCTACAGTCGTAGATGCACCTCGTATCATTTCGTCCGCCTGAGACGCTACGTGCTCATTATAAACAATATTTCATGTGTCTGTACTACTTATATCCAATCGCAACTAGCAGTAATGGGGACGATGTAAAACGCTGAGAAATTTCAACTGGAACGAGTCATCCGTGAATATGTGAAACTGATATTTTAGGGAACAGACTGGATTGGGCTAGAAAATGAAATTAAATTAGGCACGGTGTTATTTCTGGGAGGATCGCGTTGATCTGCTTGAGTGATCGAGCTCTTCCTGTAATCATTAATCCCAGTCATAAGGAGAGCGTTCCGCACAAATTAAACCGTGCATAATTCACTGTAGCTTTGAAGACGAGCCGAATCTCTTCCAAAACATCAACATCCTGAGTATACCATACAGTATACTTAAAAATAACTTTTATGGGTTCTTCGCCGACTCACCCACCGTTTAGAAATTGAGAGATGAAGAATATCTGGTGACTGGTGCGTGCGATGGTAGTCACACTGAAAAACTGCATAAAAACGGTTCGTTTTGTACACTTCAGTAAGAAGAGAGCTCAAAGCTCTGAAATTACGAGAAACTGCAGACAAACGGAACTAAAAAAACATGATTTAAACAAAACAAATGGCTTACTGTCCGTGGAATCAGCAGGGAACATGACGACGGTGTAGGCAGAGCCGGGGACGTTGCATGGTAGCTGATCGCACTTGATTTGTGTCACGACTGTCCATTCCTCGCTTGCCGGCTCCATGTGCACTACAACGTCTTGCAGCAACTGATCGCTGAGAGTGTTCTGACAGTCAAACTGCAGTAACAAAAATAACGCAAAGTTATAGGGGAGAGAGGTACGGAAGAGCATGTTGATAAAATACCTGAAACACTACGTGCTTTGCGAACATGTGCTTGACACATGTGACACTGATTTCCACCTCCAACTCAGTGAGTCCGACCGGCTCAGATGATTTAAGCAGAACGCCCAGCTTGTCCAACTCCGGGATAGCCTTCAGCTGCTGGGCGTACAGCTCATGTCGTGAAACAAGCGGTTTTTCTGGTTTCTTCGCTGGCGCTGCTTCCCGGTCTTAAACATTCGTCGATAATGACAAAGGCACAGTCAAGGGGAGAGATGCACATAGGAAAACAGTCTGTGCATGAACTCATAAGATTTGAGAATTTGTGGATGATTACAAATGGGTTGGTCCTTGACAGATCAACTGCGAAGAGAAAGTATCGCGGAAGCCAACAAAGTGATGCGAGAAGTACTTAGGCATTGCAACTACCGAAATACCGTACAGCAACGGTCTGCATAGAGGCTTTCTACACATTTAATAGCCACGGAGTAACGGCATATGCAGTGACAGCTAGTTGGGAAAACTTCATATGTACAAAACTTATTTCGAACCAAAGAAATTTTAGGTGGACGACAATGTGAGTCAAGAGTTAATGATGGTTAGTCTTCAGTTATGCCTCCCCTCAATTTCGTATGCTAAATTACTCGATAAACAAGAACGGTCTTTCGCACAAAGGACGTACAACATTCACGGATAAGGAAGAAAACTCACGGTGATCATCGTTTACTTACTCGCGCTAGGAAGACGCTCGGCCGCTGTCCTCTGAGCAAGAGGCACTAGTGGAATGGACCTCAAGTCGAACGGTTTCTCATGCGGATTTTCACAGTAGTCCTCCAGCCCTTTCTCCAGAACCGGGAAAGAAACGCACAATCCTAAAACGAAAAGTAAAAGTAATGAGTGAAAGTTTTTACGCGTATTTGCAGGGTAGTATGATTATTTTGTAGCTTATGGTAAGAACAGTTATTTGCTTTCATAAGCAAACAATTCAATCACGGAAGTTAATATGGATTTTATAGCCAGATACTGACACGTTGTGATAAAGTAGAATAATTACAAAATCTTCAATAACCTGAATAGCTGCTCAGAGTAGCTTATCCTAGGTCGTTAAATAATTAATTAAGAAACGCTCCCGGACCCGGAAGGAGAAGCGGCGATGGAAGATGAAGATGAAGATGAAGAAACGCTCCGCAACCATCATCAGCAACAACAATTGGCCGATCCTTCTTTGTAATTAGCCGGGTTCACCACTGGTCAGTCTCAATGTCCACTCTCGACCATCTCGCACGATTTCCCGCCACAAGATTACATTACCCTTCTTTAGCTCATGTCTCATCTGAGACCAGGTTTTCCAATTGGTAGCCTGTAGCCTCTTTGGTAACAATCAAAGTTACTGACAACATCCATCGATCATACGTCAGCCGTGCGACGCATTCGCCGTAGTGAGACTCAACCGGCACGCAGAAGACTGGAAATCAATTTTGTTCACGTCTTCCATTTCATTCGATCTCGGCAAATGCTTTTGGCTACTGTCTATACTTGCCAGACGTCTTGAACAGAACATTCATTTGCCCTTTATACCGACAACTGGAATTAGATATGACGATTCTGTGACGCTCGATCTGAACAGTTTTCTTCAGTGCGCCCTAGTAACCAGGATGGAGGCATAGAATAAATTTTTCATGTCGACGGAAAGATTGAAACCACTGGCATATGGGCCTCCGTAGCACTTCCATTCCGTCATCCGAGCAGTTCTTGTAATATGATGTCTTGAAACGAAACAGTGCACCCCGTTTCAATGCTATAAGACAGTAATACCTCTATTAAGGTAATGGCAAGTTATCTAATAAATAATATTTAGTCCTTGTTTTCTGTCCATGTACTCAAACTCGTTGATGTAACAACCAAATTACTTGGCAGCTGCTCTCAGCCGTGAATACGTCAAGCCATTTAGTGTCAGAACGTCTTAAAAGCACAACCATTCGTTCACTTATTAAACAAAACAATTCCTACCGAATCGTTCGAGTAGTAGCTGCAGGGATCTCTGCCAATAGTTCATATGTTTGGCCATCCGGTCTGACGTGATAAGGAAAGCAACATTAGCTTAGTATATTGTCTCGATCAGGCGGTTTTATTCCAGTACACTCTGAATGATGAATTTCACTCTCCTCGTTACAAATCTATCTTATGGGATACTTTCACAGGACCAGTGCCGCTGTGCTTATTCTACAACCTCAAAATGAGCCTCAAAATGAGCATCAAAATGCGTCAAGCGATCTAAATCTGCATAAGACGTTCAACTGGCTTGCAAAGCACAGTGCTATCAAAGTAACGTACTATTTGTGTGACAAAAGAGAATGACATTAATAGTATTGGCAATGTTTAAGTGATACAGCAATTTGGGCACATCAGTAGCTGTGTAATAACGCTTATAAAATACCGTTGATTATATAGTCGGTGTTAAACTGAGGATTTTCCTCAGAAAGCATTGAAAGGTAGTAAGTTGCTCGATCTCGAACTTCGTCGTCAGGGTCCAAGAGACATCGCTGCAAAAGTATTACGATATCCGAAAGTAGGTCATTACAGTACGCTCCAAACTTTGCAAGTGCCGTCACCGCCGCTGAAAAAAAGCAACGTACAGAATGAAACAAGTTCGTCGAGAGCAACAACAACAGAACTAATACATTTGAAACAGACTAAAAATACAATTAAAATACACAGTATACAAAGGTAAATAACGAAAATGGGTGTTTCTACGAAAACTTACAGCATAACTGGGCAAAACTGATTTGTCTATAGTGTCAGAACATGGATACAACATCGGTTTAAAGGCTAAAACCTCGTGCAGGATCATAATTAAACGTCCGTGACACCTTCGCCGCAGTTAAACTTGAGTTTACACCTTCTTTCATCATAAATGATCGTAACAAACCAATATTGAATGTAGTGAACTCATAATTCGTAAAAAATTAATAAGGATTTTCCATTTCCCATGGCCCCGTAGTGCCATACTATTGGTTCGACATATTTGATGGGACTGTTCATGGTGAACACAAATGAAACGATTCAGTACAACACTATGGAGAAATATCCGTGATGCTTATGCCATACTACCGCCATTGCGACAAATTCCACTTTCTATCGCCAAAAAGTGCATGCCACTGATTGCATAGGATGTAGAAAAATACAGCAACACAAACCATCGTGATGAAGAGACAACGAAGGTACCTAAAGCCGACTGATTATAGTGGTTTCCTAAATAGCACTGGGATAAGATACTTTTGCACAAGTACGTCGATCATGTGGAGCATTGCGTAGTAAACAGTCCCTCAAAAAGTTCTTAATCTCAATAACGATTTATTTTTCTTCGCTATTTCCAGATTTTGAACTTTGCTTATAACATTGACCCGTTCTTTGCAGTTTTGCCACTTACTGGTACTATACCAAAGTAATATGAATATCATTTATTAAGTTCTGGTTTTGGAGACACTGAAAACTGGGTTCTTGATTTTTCGCACCTTTCTAAACATAAGTAAGCACGGACTATACGATCTCCATAACACGTCAATTTAGAACCTGTATAGACCATATTGCTTCCATGCTCAGTGTTGCTACGTAGAAGATAAAATCTGAAAGTAGCATAGAGTAAAACAAGAAGAGATCTCCTCGTCACGATAACCTCATTTTCTCGTAAGCTGCTCACTACACAAGGCCCAAGCCACTCGGCTTTAGATTTATACAATTTGATAAACAGCTTCGGGCACAGAGCCTTTACTGAGGCGAAGAAGCTTCTGAGACAGAACTTGCATGTGATGACAACCGATTATGTCTAATACGAGATCTATCATACCATTTACAAGCAATAACTACGTCAGTGGTACCGAGCCACCAGAGCACAAATGATTCTAATAAATCAATTATTGTATAACTTAAATAAGTGGTCAAAAATGCTTTGGATCGAACAGAAAAAAAATTGCAGGTGTCAACGGACTTAAGCAAGTTTCTACTCGAAACTACGTCGGTACCTGCGCGAACAGCAGGGCCTTCGAGAAGGACCCGGTTGAAGATGAAACGAATATACTTTCGCGGGAAGCTGCACTTTGGACCCTCCGTTCCCAGCAAGTATAAGATTTTCGTCGCCAATACCACATGCTCACAGTCTTCAATGAATTCGCACAAATGAGCCAAGCCTATAGAATTAGCGATTAGCCATAAACCCAAACACATAAATACAACTTTTGGATCATATAGTAAAACGTTATTTCATTATCCAAACAAGCAAACACTTCTATTAATGTCCAGCAAAGTAAGAAGCATTATGGTTATAAAAACCACTGTAAAACAATTATCACCATAAGTAAGTTGCTGAAGAAGCAAGTCCCGAGCTTAAATGCCACAGGCCCTTGAAAGCAAGGACGCTGTGTAATAATGTCGCTGAATATGACTTTTAGAATTTGTGCTTCTGTTTATGTTTCGACATAGAAACATATTTTTTATGTTTACAGATTGTTGCTTCAGAAATATCGCTGAAAACCGAGACTTATTTACTCAGTCAAAAAAATTATTAGAGTCGCATCACAACAGCAGGTGCTCAAACATATTGGAGCTCTGTTCTGCCAAAATAGAATCTGTGCATCTAGAAATAAAGGATATTGCAACAAAACGATATAAAACTCTGGAGAAGTTAAGTATTTATTAGAGTCAACAGTATTAATACAGTGTAACGCATCATAACATAACTACTGCTACTTCACTTTCAAGTAGTGGCTGAATATTTGAGATTCTAAGTAAGATAAGCATAATGGGAACACCGCCGTTGTTCGACTCGACCAATCAATTACTATCAGTATGCTAGTAAATGCATAAGATCGAGTTTTATTTTTCTACATAAATATGCCAACGGATCGTGGCATATTTGAAGGTATCCCAACAGGCCTTTGTTCAACCCGGCCTAGTGACGCGGTTGTGCATCCATAC